TGGGCCCCAAAGCCCTATTGTAATTATTAATGCCCCTATATGACTTCAACCAAGTTTCCGTAAACGCATAGATTAAGGCCAACCAGAAGGCCTCAAAAGGCGATCACTCTCTCATCCCTAAAGATCAGGGCTCTCTAAGTGTGAAGCGCCGGCGAATCAAGATGTGTCTGTGATCACATACTAGAGCTCAGAGTTGAAGCTTCGCGATCGGGGTAGTTTGTCAAAGAGAAGTCAGACAGACTCCGAATGCAGAGGCCTGCTCCCAATACCAACGGTACAGAACAGAAAGCCAACAAGGGGAATGAAAGAATGAAAGGCCTGAGGAGCGAATAGACTGATACATGGTACCAGTAGCACCCTTGTTGTGAAAACCCCTAACCCCTAAGTTCTAAGCCCTATACCCTACAGAAAGGATCCCGGACTTGAAGAAGCCCGGTAAATGAAGCAGCAAGCAGTCTACAGCACAGCCTCAGTGGCTTTTAGGTTCCTACCAGGATGTGGCAGAACTATGGTACAACTAAAGTAACTAAAGCATGGAATTGATATGAATTGTGTTTTATCACTGGGTAATGGCACCTGCCAACGGCGGGAACGTAGCTCTCAAGCAGGTGAGTTTCGTCGGGCGATCTTCCGGAATGTGGGCATCAACGTGGTTTACGTCTTGACACTCGCTTGTCATTCGGGCTTTGCTGCACTTCGCTATAGCTTAACTGCTGTTGAGTTCCAGAATGAGTTCACACAAGTATCAGCACATGCATATGCATACCTACAGTCCTGCAGCTAATTGTTATCTGAACAAGTGCACATTCACATGTGCCTCTATCTTACACACACATGTCCTTCTGGATGATGCAATGACATGAAACATGGAGACATGTTTCCACAAGTATGTGTGTGTCTGAGATTTATATGTGTGCGTATAAACAGGAGTGTGTATTTATATAGATATAGAAAGAGATATCTCTGGTTGTACATGCATATATGTGGATATGTATAAATATGTATAATTATGTGTATATATATATACACACATATACATATGTATATATATATATACATGTGCTGCAAGCGAATGTAACTGCATGCATGCAACACGTGCTTACCTACATAGTTCTGCAACGGTAGGTGTGTATTCATGCATGCATGCGTGTATGTATGCATGTATGTATGTATGCATGCATGCATGTATGTATGTATGTATGTATGTATGTATGTATGTATGTATGCGTTCATGCATGTGTGTATGTATGTATGTCAGTATGCATGAATGTAGGCATGTCTGTACTCATGTGTGTATGTCTACCTCGTATACATACATGTATCGTAATTCATATTTGTTTAAACATACATATACTCATACACATATATGAACGCACACACTTATGCATGTATGTATGTATGTATGTATGTATATATATATATATGTATATTCATGCACAGATGTGCGTGTGTGTGTGTGTGCGGAACTAGTTGCCCATATTGGTTCATAAATATGTTGGCGGCGCACACTTGCCTCTCACTCGCCTTGTGTTTTGCACAAGCTTGGGATACCGTGGCTCTTGGTGTCTGAAGTCAGAATCCTAGCTAGTATTAGGGAGACCCCTTAAAGGAGAGAGACCCTTCTGAACCCTGGCTCTCTGAAAAGGGACCCTATTGAGAGGGTCTATATCCTCAAAGGTCTATGTCCCCAAAGGTCTATGTCCCCAAAGGTCTAGGGTTTAGGGTTTAGGGTTTAGGGTTTAGGGATTAGGGTTTAGGGTTTAGGGTTTAGTCCCCCTAGTCCGAACTCCTACAGAAGTTGGTAGTTGCTCTCTCGGGCTTCGGCATCTGGAGGCACGGGCTTTGCTCCAGGCTAGAACGAGGTGATTATGATGTAATAGCTGTTGACTTTAACGGAATCGGTTTCGGATGGCTTCAGAGTTCATGTTCATGGGTTTTTGAGATACACGGCTCGCAAAGTGATACATGTATACCCTCGGGATTGCTTGGAACCGGATGCCACCCTAAACCCCGAACACTAAACGCTTCCTTGGAAACCGGGGAGTCATTTACTCAGAGGGATAGACTCGGGGGACCCACAAAGCATGCACACAACATGACGCAAAATCCTCAAGACTCAGTAATGCTGACATGCGCGATTTTGGGAGCGCACACATCTTGAAGCCTCCTTTCTTGGTAAGTTCTATCCTGCATGAAGCCTAAACCCTGAAACCATCAAACCCTAATGTAGGGGCCTTAATAATTAGAAGAGGGTTTTGGTTTTATATGCTATACTCATAATAAGGAACCCCCAAAAATAGTATTGGTAATTATTGAGACCCCTATATGATGTAAACTCCAAAGCCTTTCAGGTTCGTCTTCCTTGTCTTCTGGATGTGCCTTACTGGCCCCAATGAGCTCAATTGTATATACCGCGTCAACTGCTCCCGGGCCGCAGACACTGTTTAGGGTTTAGGGTTTAGGGTTTAGGGTTTAGGGTTTTAGACAAGGATTTGCGGGGCCTGGAAGGGTTGCTACAAGGTTGTTTCAAGAGCCTTCTAGGGCTTGTCACAAGGGTCTACCCATAGGCCCCATAGTAGTTCCTTTTTGGGGTTACTTTATAGGATTCTATAGATGAACCCCAAAAAGGAACTACTTCAGGGCCTATGGGTATAGTGGTTCTTGAACTCAGGCTTTTGGATTTGGGCTTTCGAGCAGTGAGGATGTTTCGTAGCAGGGAGGTCGCACTGCGATTGGACGTTCGTTTGATATCCATTCTTTCCTAATCTTAACCAGTTCAAACCATCCGTACATGTGCTCAATGCGTAGGTTTTAGGTTTACAGGGTTTAGGGGACCCTAATCCAAAAGGCCCTAAACCCTAAAGCCCCAAAACACGAAACCCTAAGACCCTAAACTCTAAAACCCTAAACCGTAACGCGCTATGAACCCTAAAGTCTCTCTGTAGGGGCCTAGACGTGTGTTTTCTGAACATTTCAGGCTCTTGTCACTTGGCTAGTTATCTAAATCAGGGTCCCCTCTTAGGTCCCTAACAGAGAAGTACGGCACCCCTAAACCCTAATCCCTAAACCACCCCTATAAAAAAAAACAGGACCCCCAAAAGGGATCGTAATTGAGAGAACTACCCAACCACCCTTATAAACAAAGGGCCCTAAAATAGGGATCCTAATTGGGAGAACTACCCAACCACCCTTATAAGCAAAGGACCCTAAAATAGGGATCCTAACTTAGAGAACTACCCAACCACCCTTATAAACAAAGGACCCTAAAAAAGGGATCCTAACTTAGAGAACTACCCAAATGTGTCATGACTGACTGGGAGCCTCCCGGCTTGAAGCGGCCACTGGTGTGTTTGGGTTTTGGGTTCAGGATTTTGGGTTTAGGATTTTAGGCTTAGGGTTTTAGGATTTAGGGTTTAGGGTTTACGGTGCCCAGACCTTGCAAGATCGCACAGCTAAGGAATATACTTCAGACTATAATAGTAGGATCCCTAGACTTCGAACTTAAAATATGTAGGCTAGTAAGGAACGCACCTTCACTTGTTCCACCAAATCTCTCGAACCCTAAACCCTAAACCCTAAACCCTAACCCTAAACCCTAAACCCTAAAACCCTAAACCCTAAACCCCCAGCCCTAAACCCTAAAACCCTAAACCCTAAACCCCCAGCCCTGAACCCCTAAGGCACATCTTAGAAACTTGGAGCTGAGGCGACGCCAAGAGCTCGATGGCCTGCCAGAATATCCCAGCCGCCGGCCTGGTCCAGGGGTTTAGGGGTTTAGGGTTTAGGGGTTTAGGGTTTAGGGTTTAGGGTTTAGGGGTTTAGGGTTTAGGGTTTAGGGTTTAGGGTTTAGGGTTTCTGGGTTTGAGTCTTCGGTTGTAACTGTATCCCAGCCTGGTCTTTATATATATATATATATGTACATGTATGTATACAGGTGTATATAGATATAATAATGATAGTGATTAATAGAACAGAATCCACACCAAACTTAAGGCCCCCATACTGTCCTGGTCTGCGCAGATCCTTCCTGCCTGGCAAGTTCCATGCTCGCATGAATTCACAGAACCGCTTTTTGAGGGATGTTTCAGGAGACACTTCGCGGCAAGTTATGCACGAAGTCAGGCATGTAGCGGTGCGCGACAGGCAGACCATCTCACACGAATCTCTAAGTGAATCAGCCGACGAATGGTTGTGCTTGAGACTCCTGCGAGACGTGTTCTTAGCTTCTCTACAAAGATCGATGTTTGCCCGTTTGATGTCTTGGGGGCCCTTCTCCCCTTTGCGGCCACAACTTTCTTACATGCCCCTAGAAACTCAGCTCTTGAATCGCCGCGCCCCTGCCATAGCCATAAGGATTCTTAAAAGGGTAGGGGGCAGGGGGTGGGTAGGGGGCCTTGATACCTGTAAGAAGGACCTGATGAGGCATTTTAAAGGAAGTATAGCCCCCTACCCCCTGTAAGCCCATTGAGAATCCGTAAACCCCTGAAAAATCCGTAAATCCCTGAAGAATCCGTAACCCCCCTAAGAATCCGTAAACCCCCTAAGAATCCGTAAATCCCCGAAGAATCCGTAAATCCCCAAAGAAGCCCTATAACATAGAGGCCCTATAGACGTCTGCCTTCGGCGTTCGGCTCAAGGCTGCCTTGCCTCAAGCCGGGAGCTGAAGCGAGAGAGAGAGAGAGAGAAAGAGAGAGAGAGAGAGAGAGATATATATATATATGTATTACTTGGAGGTACCTCCTCAGCCTCCGACCCGAATTGCTACCCCGAACCCCAAACCCGTGACTCTTTGGAGAGCAGTGTGACCCGGGCAACAAGGGTGAGCAAGGGGTTCGCAAGTGAGAGGAGGGATTTCAGGATACGAAAGGGAGGACACGGTCCCTTTCCACGAAATGGATTTCGTCAGTTAGTTTAGGGTTTGGGGTTGAGGCCCAAACCTCAAGCCCCATTGAACCCTAAACCTTAAACCCTAAACCTCAAGCCCCATTGATTCTGATGATGCGTCTCCACTGCTTGCCCCGGCCGGCTGCTGTGCTCCGCGTTCTTCAGCGGGCGCGGAGGGAGTCCAAGCTGCAGTCGGCTTTCACCAGCCATCAATGGAGGCCGGTTCAGGGCTTACCTATAGTCTCCATTGTAGTTCCTTTTTTTGGTTTAACCGAATATATATTAAGGACTTTATAAGGTATCCCCAACAAGGAACTACAACGGAGACTATAGGTAATTTGGGGGTGAGGGGAATGGAGGTTGGGCTAAAGACTCAACCCTAACCCCCCTACTTGGAGGTTCCTGGGTAGTTTAAGTCCCCTGACATGCTTCATAAGTATAGTCACCCTTCCAGCAGGGTGCAATGGCAGAGCCGAGATCTTTCAGGTTCTGACTAATCAGGGTTTAGGGGTTTAGTGTTTTAGGGTTTAGGGTTTAGGGTTCAGGGTTTAGGCAAGCAGCATTGAGTTCTTCAATTTGGGGGATGGACTTGTTTTTGAAGCCTGGTGGTGGTTTGTGGCTGGTATTGGGCCATTGAGCCCGGACAGCTTTCCCCTGTTCTCCAAAACCCTGTAGCCTTGTATGCCGGTGCAGCGCAACGTTCGAAACTCCCTGCCCTGAGCTCTGAGCCTTGGTCAAGGGGTCCATAAGTGTATGTAAGGGATTAGGGTTTGCGGTCTAGGGACAAGTATATTGCAATTGACCCCATCTTATTCTAGTTGTTCAGGCCCCTCTATCACACCTATAGTCTCCATTGTAGTTCCTTTTTTTGGTTTAACCGAATATATATATATATATATATTAAGGACTTTATAATGTATCCCCCAAAAGGAACTACAATGGAGACTATAGGCATCAGCCCACTCTTCCTGAAGGTGGCAGCCGCTTGGTGCTGGCCTGACTGCGATGGGGCTTTGTACTTGGTTGGCCACTGGTAGTACCTGGGCTTTGTAGTAATCTTAGTTCCCAAATACCCAACCTTTAAACTTTTGGGTTCTTATAATTTAGTAGTAACCTGAAAGTTTAACCTTTTATTTCCCTGGCTTATTGGGGAAGTAAGTAATTACATAGCCTTTACAGGAACCGGGGTTATAGAACAGTAAGCTTGGCACTTTGGTGTGTGTGTGTGTGTGTGTGTGTGTGGTGTGTGGGGGCGATTGTTTGTGGGGTTTGCCTCTATGCCGTCTAGGTTTGAGGCCGTGTCCTAAACCCTAAACCCGAAACCTGTTTGGTTTTACGGTTTGTTGCGGTCGCCACGGGCTTGAGAAGTCTCTGGAACATTCTGGAACTACTTCTAGGGGAATCAGCTACATAATGTACTAGTTGCCATATGCTTTGATCATATACTACTACCATTTTCCGTAAGATACTACTTATAGTTTAAAGTTCCAAGCTATTAATGGGTCTATGGGTTCAGGGCTGACAGGGCTGTAGCTTTCAAGATTACGGGATGACTGGCTCTGACTCGTACTCGGACTCGCACCATGCCCGGAACCTCAGACCCAAACAAGCAAACATCACAGTATTACGATTGTTACGTTTACTGCAATTATTATGATTATTGTTATTAGTAGTATTGTTAATAGTATTGGTACTGTTGTTACTATTAGTACTATCACTCTTAGTATGATCATTGTCGCGTTTATTCTTGCGACCAATATGACCATCGCCTAAAGCCGTCTCCCGACGAAGCCAATCTGCCGAACTGCACACCTGTGCCCTAGATCCAAGCTCTGCGAAACCTGAACCCTCTCATCTCGAATAATCGTGGCCATCTTGGCAGTACAGAAACACCAAGCCCCCAAGCTTGAACTTCCTAGTCCTAAGCTTAAGCCTGAGCCCTAAACCGAAACCCCTACACCTTAAACCAAAACCCACGAACCCAAAAATATTTAAGCTAGCAGCTACACCCCAAACATGAACCTTTGCCAACCCTAACCCCACTAGGTACCTACTTTGTAGGGTACTAGAGCCCCTAGGGCCCTTTATAGTAGAGGGTTGTGCAAGGCGATGGCTATCTCCAGCGCAGGTGGATTGCCCGAGAGTGCCAGAAGCTCCAGGCTGTCCCATGGGTCTTGCATTGGCGGGATTTTCTCGGCCATGGTTGAGGGGTTTCGGGTTTAGGGGTTTAGGGTTTAGGGCCGGGTTTCAGGTAGATAGAGGGAGCAGGGTTCAGGGCTTACGGGGTTCTAGGGTTGTTAGAACATGTTAGAACGCTGCAACTTACCTGCACCCTGCGGTGCTGAAGGGGTGGTTTTTAACTCCATATGGGTAGTTTTCTAAATTAGGGTCCCTTTTTCGGTCCCCAATATAGTACGGCACCCTTATAAAAAGGACCCCTAAAAGGGACCCTAGTTTAGAGAACTACCCATATCAATACCTGGAACCTATTAAGCCGGTAGCTCTACGCGCCTAAACTCTGCTAAACTTCTACACCAATTCCCGGCCTTGCCACGGTGAATAAGTAACCAATCGTCTCAGTTTATAGTTCCCTTTCTGGTTTAACCAGTTGTAGATCTAGGTTCTTTTAAGGTATTTCTAAAAGGATCACAACAGGTAATAGAAGGGAAGACTCTGAGCCCTGAACACTGAAGCTTCGATCGAAGCCTGAATCCACCCAGACCTTCCAAACTCCTTTGTATATTCCTTGAGGAATATACTTTAAGTCATCGTAGGGATACCGCTATAATCTAAGGTCTATTCCTCAATTAAGGGATATTGGAAGGTCTGGGCACAGCCGAGCCCCTGACACCAATCCAACACTCTTTGACCCCAGATTTTCTCTAAGGAGCCTAGAGGGTCCAAGTATACTGCGATTACGGCATTAAGTCCCCAAAACCAGAATGAAGATGGTCTTTTGGGTGCCACTTCCAATGGTAGTTTTTGTGGACCTTCTGGGGAATCCCAAAGCATAACCCTCAGAACCCAAAAGCAGCCTCCGAAGCTAAACCCCAGCATGAACGACCCGAAGCCCCAAAAGCCCTAAAACCACCGGAACTCCTAGCCCCTAAACCCATAAAGCTCTAGGCATGAGCGCCCGTGATCAAAGTATACCCTTACCCGAAACGCCCCTTTGAATAACATACTCTAACACCCACCCGCACCCTCACTCCCTGTCTGTAAGCCCCAAACGCGCACATTCAAAACATACTCCCCCCCCCCCCCCCCGTCTGGAAGGAGGATGCCAAAGCAGCGGAAGCCTTGCCACGGAGTTTCCGTAAAGCACAGGATTCTGTCGCACGTCAAGGCGTGGTAATGAGTTCCATTTGGGGTTTACAGGAATTGGGATTTAGGGTTAAGGCTTTAGGGTTTGTAGGCTTTGAGGTTTTTGCGTATAAGGTCCAGGTTTCAGGGCTGGGGTTTGCTTGTTTGTTTTTGTGTTTGTTTTTGTGTTTTCTGCTTGTTGTTGGCCTTTCATGTTTTAGGGTGTTCGGGTAAAGTAGGGTATTTAGCTGCTGGGCTTGATAACGTTTACTCATTTAATGTGGGCTTAGCCTACTGTTGATTCAACATGTTCAAAGTTTGGGATTTGCTCTGGAGCCTTGTTTTCGAGTTGGGTGGGATGTGCAACTCGTTTTTTGTTGAGGAGGGCGTCAAAGCCTTCTGACACAAAGGGGCCCTGCATCACACCCAGACACATACGACCAAACTGCTTGTCGCGACCCTGGGTGCTAAACCCTAAATCCTAAACCCTA